ACACGGGAGCCCCCAATGATCGCCCCCCCCCCGTTATCCGCAGCCCTCAACCTGAAATAGGTACCTCTAAAGGGGGCGGGGGGGGGAGGAGGCCGCCGAGCGATATCGCGAGCACTCCAAATCAGCCACCGCACGAATTCACTGATTCATCGTGGGAGGGGGGGGGAGGGCCCGGAACTCTTCAGGAATCCCACAGGGATCTTCAGCAAATTCCCTCTGGGATCGGCAGGACTCCGCAGGCAACCTACAAGAACCCTCTGGGGATCACCCTGTCCTCCTCGGGGATCTTCTGGAATACTCAGGAACGCTCTTGGATCCTCAAACATATTCGGGAATCCTCAGGAATCCTTCACCAACAGGACCCTACTCAGGAACCCGAGCGCATCCTCCAGGAAGCGTCAGACATCCTTCAGGAATCCTCAGGGATCGTTTGAGACTCTTGCAGAAATCCTCAAGAATCTGAGAGAATCGAATGGAACCCTCCGAATCCCGACGGGTCTCTCGGGAATCCTTCCAGACTCCCCACTGAATCTGCAAGAACCGTCCAAGAACCGGAAGGAGTCCGCAACACTACTCCAGCATCTCCAGGATCGTCACAACCCTAAGACATTTTTTTTGTCCCTCAGGTGGCCGGCCGGGTTAACGTCACCACACCATGCTAATATCACGCTTAGCCGCGAAGGCCGCTTCCTATCGAGACGATTCTTGCTTCACGCTTGAGCGCTTGTGTGCTTGGAGCGAATTCCCGTCGCAACCCTGGGACAATCTGAAAATATCAATTCTACGCTCAAGTCTACGCAACGCAAGGAAGAAGAGGATGGGGGAGGAGGAAGGAGGGGGAGGGGGAAAATGGGGCAATCCGTGAACAGGGCCCACGAGGCCCAGAGCTCCTGGACATGCTCAGCCTGGCCCCAAGATCGGCACGCAGCGAATCAAGTCTTCAAGCAAACGAATGCTCCCTTTAACAGTCCTTTCACAGACTGCGTGCCAGCTTCCTCAAAAGGCATCTGCTTGAGGTGATCCAGCTGCGCTGGGGAAAGCACTGAGCTAGCCTTCCAGTGAACGAATGAACTCGTAACCGAAATGGGACTCCCTCGGCTCAATCAGGAGGCCCGCGCGGCGCCCCTGGGCCCAGGGCGGGCCATTGCGCAGCAGCGCCGGGCGAGGCCGAGCACCGCGAAGCAGGGCAAGCCAATGGAGAGCAACGCGCAGCAGTGCAAAGCAACGCAGGGCGGCGTGCAGCAAGGCAGTGCGGTGCGAATGATTCCAGTGCAACGCAACATCCCTGATCAAACTCCAGCACAACGCCACATCTCCCCCCACGCGGTTCTAGTTGCGACCCCTTGACCTCGGACTGCCAGGAATAACGCCCCTCCCCCTTCCCACACCGCCTGCACTATGCAGCACCAGAATTCAGCAAACGGCCCGCCCGTCTCCCGCTTGCAGTACAGGAAAGTAGCTCATCTGAGCAACCTTTTATAAACGAACTGCTCATCGGAACAATTTTTTGTAGTTTAACCAGCTACAGTCTACACTGATAGTGAGGATGCGCGACAGGGGTGCAAGGGCTTTGCGCGCCCATGTCGAAGCCTTTCGAGCGGGGCTGGCCATCGAAAGTGGTTAAGGGTGAAGCGAGAATGGCCGAAGATGCAAGGATGCAAGGGCACCCTTGGGAAATCCATCACACTTGTTCTCAATATTGACTGCTGTCAGATTGCAGACGAGATTCGACGATGCAGCTGCCGTTTGCGACCCCTGCTCCCACCCGTGCTGGATCCCCCTTGCACCACTCTTGACTTCGCACGGCTGCACCGGCAGTCCTGAGGGACACCCCGTTCTCGGGAAGAACGCTCCCGCCCCCGCACCGCCTGCGCCGCTTGGCACCCGTACTCCAAAATGCGCCCCCTGCCCCGGCCCATCCTGGGCAGTAGGGATCGTCGCAGCATGAGCAGCAGTAGCAGGAGTGGTTCGCACACAGAGCCTGAGAGCCTGGGAGCCTGAGAGCCTGGCGCTGAGAACCTCGATCCTGAGACCTGCCCAGGCGCAGCGGCAAGGGCGGATGCACTGACACCGTACGAGACCCTGGAGCCCTGATGCACAGACTCCCCGGGGGGGGCCCGGAGGCCCTTGGGAGCCCTGACGCCCTGGAAAGCCCTGAAGCCCGACTGGGCTCTGAGACCCAGGAGCCCGTGAGCGCACAACCCAGGACATCCCGAGACCCGTGGGCCCTGGGAGACCCGTATAGGCCCAAGGCATCCTGAGACACAGGAAGTAATGCGAAGCTGGTGCCCCTGGGCGCACCGCCCCAGACACCCTGAGATCCCCAGGCCCTGGGAGGGTCTGAGAGCCTGCGGGGCGCTGTGAGCAGGTGCTCCACGGGAAGCAGTGAGGGGGGGCCCTATACTCACGATGGGTTCTTGCGACCTTGTGAGCAGGTGCTTCATGGGAAGCAGTGAGGGGCGGACCCTGAAATTGTGGTGGGCTCATGGCGGGGTACTATACTTGAGGGGGTGCCTTTCAGGAATCCTTCTGGGATCTTCAGGAATCCTGAAGAGTCCATACGAAATCTGACGGAACCGCCAGAAATCCTTCAGGAGACCTCAGGAATGTTCCAGTAATCCGGCAGGAATCCTCAGAAATCCTCAGGAAACCCCGCGAGGTCGAAAGGTCTTTCAGGAATCCTTCAGGAATTTGCGAGAATCCTGGGGAATCCTTTGGAAAACCGTCAGGAATCCTGGAGGAATCATTCAGGAATCATCTTCAGAAATCCTGCAGGAATCCTTGGGATCCTTCAGGAATGGCATTGAAATCTCCAGGGGTCTTCAGGAATCTTGGCGGATCATCTGGAACCATTAAGAATCCGATTGGAATCCGATTGGGATTCCATTGGGATCGTATTACGACCTTCGTGGGATCTCGCACTGAGGGCTCTGGTGGCTGAGTATATTCCTTCCAGGTGCGGACAGTGCCGAATAGGGGGGGGTCGAGAGTTGGCGTCCCCGGTTCAGCGAATGGCCGAGGTGGGAACGGACGCCTTACTCATGCATGACGGGAGAGGGATGGGAAGAGGAGGAAGAAGATGGGGGATGGGAAGGGGGAGGCAAGAAGGGAGGACGAGGAGCGGATGGGAGGGACTGGGCGGGACGGGGACGCTTTCCGAGGAGGTGTGCGCACGCCTGTCTCGTCGTCGTCCTCGTGCTTCTCATGGCTGCTGTTGATGCCATCATCACCACTGCGACTCCGCTGGCACCTGGCACCTAAGTCTACGATCGACAAGCCGGCTAGGTGGCCGACAGAGACAGCTCCATCCATAGACCTGGACGCCAGTCCATCGTCTGCATGCTTGAAATGCTGGCCCACTGGACGTACTGACCCTACCTACCATCCACCCAGCCCCTGCTGATAATGACCCTCAGGATGCCATGATTATTGCCTTCCTCCTCCGCCCCTTCCCTGCTGCTGATTTCGCACGCCTACTTCATAAGCAGGAGCCAGCCAGTCCAGAGGATGCTCGGTGTGCAGCGCCAGAGGGCCTCGCGGCCCTACGGAGGGGCCAAGAGCGCTCCGAGAGGAATCCGGATCGATCTCTCTGTCTCCGAGATGTGCGCGTCCGCACCACTGCCTGCCGTCATCGTTGTCCATGCCGCCGTGAACGTTGTCGCAGTCCTCGCCGCCGCCGTGCCCGCGTCGCCGCCGTGCCCATCGCCCAGTCGTCGTCGTCCTCGCCGTCGTACCTCGCCGCCGCCGCCGCCGCCGCCGCCGTGCCCGCCGCCGTGCCCGCCGCCCGCTGCCGCCGCCGCCGTGCCCGCCGCCGTGCCCGCCGCCCGCTGCCGCCTCCGTGCCTCCGCCGTCGCCGCCGCCGTGCCCTCGCCATCGACGCCGTGCCCCTGGATCTGACGCTGCGGCAGGGTTGCCGCATCGGTGAGAGTCACGACCGGAGCCCGTGACCCCATCTGAGCGACGGCCCAAAGCGGGCCTTCCGCGAGATGGCGTAGCGACCTCACGGCGGCGGCTTACGCGGGCCGCGTGCGCGCCACCTTCGGCGACGAGGACATGATTTTCGCTCGTCGCTCATCATCTCACTCCGCGCTGGCCCCGGGACCCGGTAGGGGTGGGGTGGGGTGGGGGGTGGGGTGGGGGGGGGAGGGGCGAATGCCATGCAAGTAAACTTGTCTGAATGATTTTTCATTTTTTTGTAACAAAAAAACAAAAAACTCCTGCGCCCGCGAGCTCCCCGTCGTGCGGCCGGAGCGGCGCTGCGCCCTCTTCCCGGGGACTGGTTTCTCATGACGGCCCCGGGGCCCGGCGAGGGCCCCCAGAGGCCGAAAATAGCGAAACACCCAGACCCCCGACGTCGTGATTTTGTCATTGCGTCGACCCCTGGATGTCTCGACCCATTCCCCCGGACCGGTTTTTCATCCTGAATCGCTTTTTGACGGTCCCGAGGGCCGGTGAGGGCCCCCATGGCCGAGAATAGCAAAAAAAAACACCCCGTCGTGATTTCTTCATTGCTCGAAGGGGGTCTGGGCACCTCCCGTCGTGATTTCTTCGCAGCCCGAGGGGGTCTCGGCTCGGAGGCTGCGCCCGCGAGCGCCCTTGCTTCCTGCTGCCGGAGCGGAGCTGCGCCCCCGCGCGGGCCGCGTTTGCGACGCCGGCGGCGACTCGCCCGGCGAGGATGATGGGCCCATTTTCCACCACCACTACCATATATAGGTAGGAGAGGGAGAGGGAGAGGGAGGAGGAGCAGGAGGAGGAGGAGGAGGAGGAGGAGGAGGAGGACCTTCTCATCCTCCCCTCTCCCCCGTCCTACAGGTGGCAGCGGTGGTGGAAAACTGGCCCATCCGAGGCGCCCAGCGAGGCGCGCGGCGGGCTGCGCGACCAGCGGCCGCCCGCGGCCGCCGCCCCGCCCTCGTCGAGCCCGTCGTCGCCCTGCGGCAGCCGCAGGGCCCGCACGCCGCTGCCCGCCACGCGGCGGCCCGCGCGCCCGCGCGGCGCCGGGCGGGGGCCGGCGCCGAAGGGCCCGTCCTGTGGGCTGCGCAGAAGCCTCCTCGCGCTGCGACAGAAATCACGACGGGAGGTGCTTCGTCATGTTCGGCCTCCGGGCCTGCCCAGGCCTCGGGACCGTCAAAAACCGACTGAGGATGAAGAACCGGTCCCGGGGAAGGAGCCCAGGCTTCTGGGGGTCGACGTTGCGAAAACAGCACGGCGTCGGGGGTCTGGGAATTAGACGAGCGCGTTCCACAACTCGCAAAGATAACTATGCCCGCAAGTGGCCAGGATCCGCGACAGGGGATGTAGGGTCCATCAAGTCGCGGTAAGCGCGTGTTTTTTTTTTCGGACGTTTGCGAGTGGGCACTTTGCGAGGAGTGGAAGGCGCTAGCAAGACTAGGACTCCGAGGCTCCGAGAATCTCTGAGATCCGGCGGCTCTGGAGGAGGTCTCGGGCGCAGCGGCCTTCCCAAGACGTTACAGAACGCTCTGGAGCGGATGTGTCCTCGCCCTGGCCCCGTCCGACGGATGCTCCCAGGTTCCATCGCGCCTCTGCGTTTCAGAGTCTCTACTTGGATGCCCGCGTCTTCCCTTGACTTCCCGGCTGCGCGCAGCGCAGGATCTTCGACGAGGGCACGGGGCCAGGAGCTCTATACAACGCAAGCTGTGGGGGCCAAGCCTGCCGAATGGCTGCGCGGCCCGAGACCGCCGCAGCGACGGGAGCGCGCGCCCGCCCAAGCTGGGACGTTGAGGGACCCGCTCGTGCTGCGTGCCTCCGCGGAGGACGCGCGCCCGACCACGGACGTGCAGCGCAGCATCTCGCCGCGCAGCGCTTCCCGAGCGGTGTGGCCCGACAGCGCCCGCCGCGGAGCTCATGCCACAAGGTGTCCGAGCGCCCGCGTCGCCCCTCTGCGCGACGGGCGCATGTAGTTCTAGCATTTTTAGAAAAACTGTCTGGGTTGGTGCCGACGGGTCTCCGACGACCCGATGCTCCTCGACTGCATGCTTGTTCCCTACGCTGTTTTTCTGCCCCCGGCGACGTTTGCCCTCCCATCCCGATCGCAAAACACGGCTCGGGGACGCACAGAACTGCCCCCCCGGGGCACAACGGTCGGGAGCCTCGGGGGCCGCGGATGGCACAACTCACCGCGCTGGGCGCCTGGGAGAGCGACCCCTGCAGGCGAGACTGTGGCCTCAGGTGCGCGGCCTGCCTGCCGCGTGCGCTGCGGCACTGGCGGCCTGCGCGCTTGGCCTCGGCATTGGCCCGCCCGCTGGGGGGGGGACCCGAAGGTTCCGATGCCGCTGCTCCCCGGGCCTCTCCAGGGTTTTTTTCTAGGCTTCTCGCAAGGAGAGGAAGAGGGAGGGCGACCACCGAACTTCACCCGACTCGGCCTCGACCGCGGTGCGAAGCACACGGTCGCTGGGCAAACCGGGAGCACCACACGAGCCGGCCTGCGATAAGCGACCTGATGCACTGAACCGTGGCCTGGAAAACGAGTGGGAGATCGACGAGATTTGTTTTACCCCGAAATTGACTTCAGAGTCGCATCCACGAAAGATGCGCAGAAGGCTCCGTCGATCTACGGAACACTCTGCTTGCGTTTTCGTAGCTTCGGTGAACAAGCAAAATCTACATCGATGTTCAGGTCGATCCCCTGCAGTGGAAGCCAGTCCACAAACGAAACCTTCCACGAGAAACTCCACCCTGAGACCCAAGCACGTTCATGGATTTTGTGGTGTTGGAACGTCACGCTGTCCATCGCAAAACCATCAGATCCCAAGAAAACCAGGACAACCTGGAGGCAAGCAGGGTGTTCCCTGGCATGTGTCTCCACAAAGACCTGCAGAAATCAAAAACAGCAAAAAATAGTCGAAGCATCGTCCCCAGACTATTCGTTGACGATCTTAAAACTCTTCCTCCTGTACAAGGGACATGCCCAATTTAACCCTATTGGAGAGAGATGCGCGAGCGTGACGCGTGCGAGGGGGGAGGAGGAAGCCGACTCGTCTGCAGGGGCGCCTCTGCAGGCGCGCGTGCCGAGCACCCGACGGCCCGTCCTTGAGATTATCGTTTTTTTTGTTGTAAAAAAACCGACAACACACACAAAACAAACATCAAACACAGCTTGGCGAACGTAGCCCTTCTCCTCAGCCCCCGGCTGCCGTTGCTCTTCTCGGTCGCCCACCCCGCGGGGCTTCTGTTTTGGGAAGTGGGCGCTGCAGAAGGAGAGACGTTGTAGCCATGCCGTGCCCATGGGTGGTGGCCGTGTTTGGCACGGCGCCCCACAGCCGCGCCCATTGTTGCCCCACCGCTTTGCCAATGCACTCTTGACGTGCACGGTTTGGTTTGTTGTTTTCTCTTTTTCTCTCTCTCTCTCTCTCGTGTTTTGTTATCCCTGTCTCTCTCTCTCTCTCTCTTTCTCTGGTTATCTTTCCGATCGCGGCCGTAACCGACCCCGCGGATCACTTCATGATGCGCGCCGGCGCCGTGTGGAACTGGAAATCTGCCATTCCAAGCTCAGCCGCCACGATACGCAACACGCAGCACGCAACAACGCAACACGTAGCGAATTTACACGGAGCTCAACACGTAGACTGAAAACGTATTCAGGCCTGGCGCGATACGTTCGCCTGAACGTGGAACAACACGTGCCGAGCCGACACGCAGCGTGTAACAAAGACGTTTCAAACATGGCTATTCCACGTCAATGCGCGGTAGAGGCAATCCGCACGCGCGCCAAGGCGGTCCAGGCAACGGAAAACGCAAATTAGCCAGCGGCAGGAGAAAGGAAAGACAGGCGAAAGCGGCTGCGGCGGAGGAGGTGGAGGGCACTCACATGGCGAGGTGTTTCGCCGTGCAGCGGCCGGGGGGGCCAGCTGGTGCTGCACCCCTGCCAGCGGGCGCAGGGCGGTGTCACGGCCACACCCAGGGGCTGAAGCAGAGGCTGCAGCGCACGAAGTGGAAGAGGAACAGTATCAGGGTAGGGAAAGAGTGGCCAGGTCGACGTCCTGGCCCAGCGGGGGACCAAGAAGTTGACTGGACCCAGGCGGCGAAACGGACGTTTTGAACATGGTAATTGCGTGCTGCGTTTCATCACGGGCGTATCAGGGCAGCTGAGATTCCTCTGCGTTCCCAGACGGCGCAAGCGCGCATCGTGACGTAACTAACCGGCCCCCTCCCCTCCGCTCCCCCCGCCCAGGGTCAGACCTGTTACCCAGACCCCCCCCCTGGGTCATGCCCGTTCCCCAGACCCCCTACTTCATGATTGGTTCACAACGTCGACCCCCAGAGATCTGGACCCATTCCCCAGGACCGGCTTTTCGTCCTGGATCGTTCTTCGACGGCCCCGAGGCCCAGCAACGGCTCCCAAAGGCCGAGAAGACCAGAAAAGCTCCCGTCGAGATCTGTTCATCGCCCGAGGGTGTCTGGGTACTCCAGATTTCGTAATAAAGGGAGGGGGGTCTCATTTCGGGGGGGGGTCTCTTCCAGGCTATCTTGGAGGGCCTGGGGGGTCTGGGGACGATGTTTTGGAGGGTTCTCCCACGGGGGAGGTCTGAAATGGCTTGTCTTGGAGGGTCCAGACCCCCTCCCTTTTATTACGAAATCTGGAGCATCGCCAGGGGATAACAAACTATCTTTCCTCACGTGTGGCCCGTCCTCGTCCGGGTCAAGGTCGTCTGGGTGTCGCCCAGGGGCGCGCGCGGCGCCGAGGCGGCCGCCGGCGCCGAAGGGGCCGTCCTCGGCGTCCTCGCCCTCGCGCGGGCCCGCGCGGTCGGGCAGTGGCTGCGGCCCCTCCTCTCGGGGCTGCCAAGCGGTGGTCCCGCGAACATTGCTCCAGGCTCTATGTAGACACCAAAATCGTGCCGGATCTATCTGTGAGGCCTCACAGATAGACCCGGGTCCTGCAGAGGCCCGGAACGGGGCGTAAACGCCCGGTGTGCAGAAAAATGCAGCGCCCGGATCATCGGGCAGGCCCAGGCATGCCGTGAGAAAACAAACACGATGGAGAATTCTTGACCGTTAACCCCAGGAAGGTCATACTACAGCCATCCAGCGCCAGCCCGCGGAGGCCGCCGAGCAAACCTCCCTCCCACGCGCGGCGGGCCGGGGGCGCGGGCGCGCCGTGCTAGGGCATCCGTCGGGGAGCCTCCTCGATCCCCCGTCGCCGGGGCCAGAACGGCCCCCTCTCCAGACCCCCGCGTGAGACCCTGGCGTTGCAGTTTGTTCGAGCCGTGTCTTTTCGCCGGGTTTCGGGCCCTGCAGGGCCCTCACAGATTGATCCGGCGCGACAAATGCCGCAGAGAGATGGGGTCCAGGGCTCCGGCGGTGTTTTTTGGCGATGTGGTGCATTCTTTCTTCTGCAAAGGATTTGACACCGCGTTGATCGCAAAACCTTGAATCGATCGTGGCCCCGATCGTCAAAGGTTGAATTCCGTCGGGTCCCGTGGCGTCACCGCGTCCCTCGGTGCTTTCGCGTGGCAGAATTCAACCTTGAACGCCTTCGCCGGCGCGCCATCCCAGACCCCCGACGCTATGATGTGTTCATAACGTCGACCCCCACAGGTCTGGACCCCTTCCCCAGGACTGGCTCTTCATCCGGAGTCGTTCTTTTGACGGCCCCGAGGCCCGGCGCAAGGGCCCCCAGGAGCAGGAAACGGTGAAAAACCTCCCGCCGGGGCTCTTTCACGACGCCAGGGGGTCTGGAATCGCCGCATGGACCTGCCGCAGAGCAGTGGCCCTCACCTGGGAGCGCCTCGGGCTTCTTGGGCGCTTCTTGGAGCCTCTTGGGGTCTCCTGGGGGCCTCGTGGGCCAAAGGGCTCGCATTTTCGGGCCCTCGTCCCCGTCTTGGGCGCCGACTTGGGGCGTTCTTGGGCGGTTTGGGCGTCTCGTGGGCCGTCTTGCCCCCGAAAGGTCCTCGCGCAGCTCCAGCTCCCCGCCCGCGGGCCCGCTGCCCGCGCGCTGGCCGCCGGGCGCCTCGCCCTCGCAGGCTTCCTCCTCTCGTCGAGGCGCCACCAACGACAGATGCCCTGGATGGGCATCTTATCAAGGGCCTCCCCAGACCCCCTCAGAAATGAAAAAAATCGCGACAGGAGGTTTTCCTCCGATTTCGGCCTGTGGGGGCCTTCGCCGGGTCCTGGGACCGTCAAGCAATGACTGAGGACGAAAAGCCGGTCCGGGGAAAAGGGTCCAGACCTCTGGGGGTCGACGTTCTGGGGGTCAAGGGCCTCCCCAGACCCCTCTCAGAAATGAAAAGTACCCTGTGGCGTACCCAACCCATTTGCATCATGGGAAACGAGGGAGTTGGCCGAAACTTGCATGGACAATCAAATTGCAGGATCCGTTGTTTGATATGTAAGCTACTTGGGACACGCGCCTATGGCATGATGCGCAGGAGAACCATGCAAGAACGAGGGGCGACAACTACGGGCTCGAAGAGGACATGGGGAGTCGGGAACGAAGAGCAGGAGAAAGACGTGCGGGAAACCCACTGTGCTGTGCCCCTCAGCAGCCCTCGAAAGTGGCGACAGTTTCACAGATCGCAGCCACCCAAGGATGGCGAGGTCTAATCTGAGTCTGCGGTGAGTACCCACTGTGCTGTGCCCCTCGGCAGCCCTCGAAAGTGGCGACAGTTTCGCAGATCGCAGCCCCCCAGGGACGGCGAGGTCTAATTTGAGTCTGCGGGGAGAACCCACTGTGCTGTGCTCCTCAGCAGCCCTCGAAAGTGGCGACAGTTTCACAGATCGCAGCCACCCAAGGATGGCGAGGTCTAATCTGAGTCTGCGGTGAGTACCCACTGTGCTGTGCCCCTCGGCAGCCCTCGAAAGTGGCGACAGTTTCGCAGATCGCAGCCCCCCAGGGAGGGCGAGGTCTAATCTGAGTCTGCGGTGAGTAACCCACTGTGCTGTGCCCCTCAGCAGCCCTCGAAAGTGGCGACAGTTTCACAGATCGCAGCCCCCCAGGGATGGCGAGGTCTAATTTGAGTCTGCGGTGAGTACCCACTGTGCTGTGCCCCACAGCAGCCCTCGAAAGTGGCGACAGTTTCACAGATCGCAGCCCCCCAGGGATGGCGAGGTCTAATTTGAGTCTGCGGTGGGTACCCACTGTGCTGGGCCCCTCAGCAGCCCTCGAAAGTGGCGACAGTTTCACAGATCGCAGCCCCCCAGGGATGGCGAGGTCTAATTTGAGTCTGCGGTGGGTACCCACTGTGCTGTGCCCCTCAGCAGCCCTCGAAAGTGGCGACAGTTTCGCAGATCGCAACCCCTCAGGGACGGCGAGGTCCCGCTCATGTCCGTGCGGTGTCTCACTCTGCAGGACCCACTAGCAGCCCTCGAAAGTGGCGACAGTCTCGCAGATCGCAGCCCCCCAGGGACGGCGAGGTCCCGCTCAGGTCCGCGCGGTGCTTCACTCTGCAGGACCCACTAGCAGCCCTCGAAAGTGGCGACAGTTTCACAGATCGCAGCCCCCCAGGGGCGGCGAGGTCCCGCTCAGGTCCGCGCGGTGCCTCGCCCCGCAGGAACCACCAGCAGCCCTCGAAAGTGGCAACAGTTTCGCAGATCGCACCCCCCCCAGGGACGGCGAGGTCCCGCTCAGGTCCGCGCGGCGCCTCACTCCGCAGGACCCACCAGCAGCTCCCGAAAGTGGCGACAGTTTCGCAGATCGCAGCCCCCCAAGGACGGCGAGGTCTCGTTTGGGTCCGCGGTGGGTACCCTCTCTGCTGGCCTCCCCAGGAAGCCCTCGAAAGTGGCGACAGTTTCGCAGATCGCAGCCCCCCAGGGACGGCGAGGTCCCGTTTGGGTCCGCGGTGGGTACCCTCTCCGCTGGCTCACCCAGCAGCCCTCAAAGTGGCGACACTTTCGCAGATCGCAGCCCCCCAGGGACGGCGAGGTCTCGTTTGGGTCCGCGGTGGGTACCCTCCCTGCTGGCCTCCCCAGCAGCCCTCGAAAATGGCGACAATCTCGCAGATCGCAGCCCCCCAGGGACGGCGAGGTCCCGTTTGGGTCCGCGGTGGGTACCCTCTCCGCTGGCCTCCCCAGCAGCCCTCCAAAGTGGCGACAGTTACGCTGATCGCAGCCCCCCAGGGACTGCGAGGTCCCGTTTGGGTCCGCGGTGGGTACCCTCTCCGCTGGCCTCCCCAGCAGCCCTCGAAAGTGGCGACAGTTTCGCAGATCGCAGCCCCCCAGGGATGGCGAGGTCAAAGGCAGGGGGAAGAGAGGGACGGGAAGGAAGGAAGGAAGGTTCGCGCGAGCAGTGCTCTATTCAAAACGAGAACCCAACGCAGGAGGGTTGGGAAA